CATCAAGAGATTGTAATTTTTTATGTGGGGGTACAAGATCTTTGAGATCCATGGTATGTTTTAAACTTACAGCACATCTCAAATTGGGTTAGCCACATGTCAACTGTTCAACATCCACATGTGGTTGATGGGTACTGTACTGAAAAGTGCAAGTCCAAACACACTAACTGAAAGTTGAGACATCACATAGAAATCATGGTCAATAATTAACTGTCTAATATACTTTTGTATTTTCTTTCTGTTGGCGCTCTCACCATCTCCTAGAAGAGATTATCTCAAAGGCCATTGCTGTGTCAGCAAATCGAAACTCCTGCGCACAACATAACCATTGCCATAGAGTTGAGCATTTTCCCAGATGTGAGATGTCCTTTATTTTTGAGATGCCCTCTCCTTTTGTCATTGATCTACATTTTATCCCTCAATGCCCAATTTTTATCTGATATTTTCAATATGCCACAGAGCTGTGGCATACATCTTCCCAAAAGCCTAAAACTAATTTTATCATTCACGTGACACTTAGAGAATGTTCACTTACTAAATGATTCTAATACCAGCTTTGTAACCTTGAACTAGCTGCTTTACCTCTATGAATCTCAGGGTTTTCAATTATAAAATTGAGACGAAAAAAGATAACTCACAAGATACTCGGGCAGATTAAACAAGACAGGTATAAGGTATATAGCACAGCCTAGAATATAATACTTTAATAATTCCCCCTATATTACATTCAACTTCTTTTCTAAGTGGCCGTCTTTAGATTTTAGGCTTTCATGCTTCACTCATTGCACTTCAGGTCTTTCCTTTGTGATTTCTTCTGCTAAGGCAGCCCTTTCCACAGATCTTCACAGGGCAGAGTTTTTTTGTTTTGTTTTGTTTTCCTTATTTCAAGTGTTAATGGTCACCTTCTTAAGAACTTCTTCTCTGAATTCCTCTTTGAGGTTTTCCCCAGCCCCATTACTTTCTAGCCTCCATCCTCCATTTTCTCCATAGCATTTATTATTATCTGATATAATCCTTCGGTGTTTGTTCCCCTGTCTTTTATCTTTCACTCTGTTGTGCCGTGAAGCTCTATAAGAGGTGGAACCCTTCTCTATCTTATTCTCTACTGTACTGTCAAATGTCCAGCACAAAACAGAACTCCACAAGTGTTTGTGGAATACATGAGTGAAACAAGCACTAACAAAGAAAGGTAAGTGTAAATGCTGTGATTCTAAAAATGGTAAAGAATGAAGCTCTTTTTCCCTAGAAGGATGACTCAGGAAATTAGGGGTGAAGACTGAGCCTCATCTATTAGCTGGGCTTAGGAGGGGTCAGAAAAGTTATTCTCCTAACTTGCTACCTGTTAATATGTACCACGAATAAAGTATATGTTCTCACCACATAAGATCACTCACCAGACTTGGTTATTTGTGCCCTTAAGAATAATCCAAATCCATTTGGCAAGATATAATTTTATGATGCCAGAGGGGTTGTCAGCACTGGGTATAATGGAAAAAGGGTGGGTGTTAAAGTCAAGCAAACCAGGATTTGAATCCCAAGCTAAGCATACCAGGCAAATTATGTAAATGTATCTAATCCTCAGTATTAAGCTTTACATGATTACTCATTCTCTGCACTGTTGTTACAAAAATTAATTGAGATAATGTATGAAAGTGCACCTCCAAGGCTCATTGAATAATAGCTATTAATCTTAGCATTTTGCACACCAGAATATGTGTCCAGAATATGCTGCTCAATCTCTGCCTACTATGAGAGTATAAAACTTTCTTTTAATGTTCTGATATTTCTTTCCCACATTTCTCTGTCATGTAACCACTTGTGACTAAGAGGCCAGGACTACAGAAAGTGACAGAGAGAAACAGTGAATATGAACTGTTTTGAGCCAAATTTATGCCAAGCAGTGAAAGATCACACTATAGATCTCTCTACAGGGACAGTTTCTGGTAGATTTGGAGATGGATCCATACATGAGAGTTCTCTCACCATTTTTTTTTTTTTTTTTTTTTTTTTTTTTTTTTTTC